CATATTGGTGCAGCTGATTTTGGAGAGACGACGCATTGGTGCTCTTCGTTTGGTGTCGGCTCAGTTTTGGGAAAACTTCACCGAGGTGGAGAATTGAAACGAATACAGGAAAAATGTGCAGAAGACGCGTTTTGATGCTTCACGGTCGACCGCGACTGGCGCAGTGATTGTTTCTGGACTTTTGGCAGTCGGCCGCGAGTGGTGCGGTGGTCGACTGAGGACCCTATAATCGGTTTTCGTGGGTTTCTATCTTTTGTCTGGTCGACCGTAGCGTCATGTGCGGTTGACCGCGTAGCGGGTTTGGGCCTGATTGAGGTTTTTTGTTCGCATTGGGTTTGTGTTTTGATATAAATTGAAACACAATTTTCTAGGGTTTCTTAATAGAGATTTTAGATTGTACTGACCATATTGAGAGGGCGAACTTGTGAACAAGTTGAGAGATTTGGTTTAGGGTTAGTGTGAGTGATTTTATGAGATTGTAACCATTTGTACTCTCCTTGATTTAGTTGAATCTCACTATCCTCTCCCCGTGGACGTAGGCAAATTGCCGAATCATGTATATCTGTATTTGGTTTGATTTGTCGTATTTGGTTTGAATTATGCTCGTGTGTGGTTGGTTCTCTTCTCCTGTGATCACAGATTCGTTCGGTGTGCGAGCACGCTTCCGCACAGACGCGCAACAACTTAAGAACACATAGAATGACAATGAGATGAAAATATGAGCAACAGAATCAGAACAGTCAGGAGTGTGTTTAGGTCTAGGTCAAAATCTTCCAACAACTGAGATAAAGCTTTGGGATCTAGTGTTTTGATATATGCCTCATAAGGTTCAACACCTGCCCTTTTCAGGCAGCCAATTCTCCATCAATAACACTTAAGCGACGCACTAATCATTTCTCCTGACAAAGTTATATCCTACTATAAGTATATCTAGATGTTCTAGAATATTTATAGAACATTGATATTTGTTGAATACTCCTCATTAATACTTAAGCGATGCAATACTAATCAAAAACTTCACAAGAAGTAACTGTTAGCGCAACATAGTTTTACCATGATTTCTCCCTCAATTTTTTGGTTAGCTCTTAACTTCACAAGACTTGTTACAGATCGAACTAACCAGGTCGGACTAGCCACAGCTTCGAGGTGTTACGTACTCCTCATTAATACGGCGTCCTCACCAGCTCGCCAGATCGAACACTCCATACAGTGATGTGGGCTTCAAGAAGAAAACCATGATACTTTTCACCAACTAAAATAAGAAATCATGACCACCTAGTATCTGGGTTATATAGTTGATAGATTGAGGGTAATGTAGCGAGATGAGTCTCGGTCATGTGGAAAATGTAAACGCTTATACTGAGTGGTTGTTGCACCTTCAGGCATGTCTGGAGAATTCTTTTGATCCTGGGTAGGCCTGGGTGGAATGTACTTTCATGTGGTTTGATGGGAATTTCTATTCATTGACCTCAAAAGTAAAGTAAGAAATCATCCTGAATAAAACATCATTAACATTAACTTACTAACCTCTTCTGTGGTCCAACCAGTAATATCTCGAGATGAAATTTTATTGTGAATATTATTGCTTTGGTTAGGCTGAATCTCGATGAGCTCGACAAATGGGCAAGCGGCATCCAGTCCATCTCACCCTACATGACATGATTGTCAAGGTTAACATATGTAATTTTCACAATGTCAAGGTTAACATATGTAGTTTTCGCGATGTAGGAAGCGTAAAGAAGTCACTGACGTTTAGCAGTTCTGATGCTATATGAACGGAGAAGTTGCAGTCATTGGATATGAAACAGATTTTAAGGTTATATATCAATCATTAGCAGCTTAAAAGGTGTAATATGCATCGTCGTCATCGTAAACTTCTGGCTAAATATCCTTCTGCATCCCTACTCGCAGAAGCAGAAGAATTCATTAAAGCTCTGACTTCGTCTCAAGAGCTTCATCGCAGAATCTTATACAAAAGAGCTTTCAACAGGCTCTTGGCAGCATCAATTTCGGTTAGTTTTCGCCCCCAACATTTTATTTTGTCTGAGCCATGTATGATACCTAAATCAGAGTATAAAGAGGACAGGCGTTTCCACGCACACCATGCCTAAGATCAAAACTACCTGAAGACCTCCAAATCATCAATTATCTCATCCTCCATACTCTCGTCGACGTCATTCCTTAGTAGTCCACTATCATTATCGATCGCAGGAAAGACATGAATCTAATAGATACCTTGGCTAACGATCAACTACTAACGCCAACAATCATTCAACTGACAAGTATGAAAAAGAATAGCAAAAGCAATGAATTCAATCAGCAACATGGAATTTTTTAGGACAGTTGCAGCTAAGGAACAGCTACAAATTCTGTTTCACTACATGGGGCTCTAGAAAAGGAGGGGAAATGACGAGATGATTCATTTTTTGGACTATTTAAGTCCCAGAGACAAATTGAAACCTCATTTATAAAGAAAACCTATTCCGTAATAATCAAAATCGAAGCCAAGAAGATTAAGGTTGAATCTAACTATAAATGAGATAGGGCATGGAAAAGAAAAAGCCCTTCCGTATTAACAAAAGCACAGATTCAAACTTCTAGCATTAGCAGATTTAGGATTTCTCGAGGACAAAAGGGCAACAATGATAATCATATTTTTATTACAATTTTACACTCTCATTATCTAGTTTACATAAATAAATATATCACTAATAATTATTTTTATCTTTAATTACAGGTTAATGAAGAAATAATGAATAAAAGCCCAAAAGACTCTAACTTCCTCATTTTGTAATCTTTTATTGAAAGCCCAAAATCAAGCCGAGTAGCCTGTAGAAGCCGAAGAAAATCAAAAATCCAATATGAAAAGAAATCATATTCAAAATGGTTGGCCGCAAAAAAACGACGATATCTTCCAATCTGGAAGGCGAAATTTAACAAATAATATATGAAAATCGCCTATCTCGAAGAGACGAAGCCAACCGTGAAGTCAAAGTTTTTATTGGAGCATCCATTCTAGCATCGTGGGGTCAGACGTTCTGTTATGCATCAAAGGCTGAAAATTGATTGTTTTGGATAAGATTTTGATCCAATGGCTCACATTTTACTATAAATAGGGGTAGAGAGTGAGGAGTTGAGAGTGTGAAAAATTTTGTAACTCTATTTAGAGAGGAGGATTACTCTTAATTGAGAAGACCTTCTAATTTTATAACTTTTGTTACAATCAATAAAAGAATTTTTTTACCCCTTCATATTTTTCTTTTCTTCTCTTTGTTTGATGATGAAGATGAAGATGGGATGAAGATGAAGATCAAGAGTGAGGTTTGCTTTCATCTTGAGGCTAGAACCCTCTTGGATGGTAATTTTTTTTTTTTGTAATATTTTTATCTTTTTATTTTCTTGCTTAAATAGCTAAAAGGCTAGAACCCTCTTACCTTAGATTTATTTCATGCTTATAGAGTTGATCTATTTCATGCTTATAGAGTAGATTTATTTTCTCGTATTTAATTCTTGTAATTTATTTTGTAGTTTAGTTTTTGTAATTTATTTTGTAGTTAGATTTTATTTTCTTGTACTATTCACCTTGAGGCTAGAACCCTCTTGGGATTAGTTTTTATTTTTCTTTATTTTTATTCTTTGATTCGCCTTGAGGCTAGAACCCTCTAGGGAATTGTCTTTTCTTTTGAGGTGGGTTCAATTCTAAATTCCTCATATCTTTAATTGAACCCTCGTTCTTTTCTTTCTTTATTTTTCCTTTTATTTTATTTTTTTGATTTTTATTTCCTTCATTTTTCCTTTCTTTCCTTGTGATTTCATTTATTGTTTATCTATCACTCTCAATATCATTTTTTTACACACAATCATTTTCATTCTCTCCATCTCTCCACAATCACATCTATCATCACTCCTAATTGTTGCACACACAATATATGAATTGATTCTAATAATTTCCTACAAGCATCTTCCTCGTGAGATCGATAATTTTTTATACTATAACTTGATTAATTGTGCACTTATAATTTTTGGTATATGTTTATGCCGCATCAAACAACTACGAAGGAAATGAAAAACTACCTAAAGATTTGAGTTTGTGTGAGACGTGTATAACTGACAAATCACCAAAAAAGTTGAAATAAACTAAATATTTCAAAGATTTGGGGAACTAGCATCAAAATGTTGAGGATTTAGGGGAACTTGAGATCAATTTCAAAGATTTGGGGAGCTAATATCAAAATATTGAAGATTTGGGTGGCAAGTAGCGAAATGACCCAAATGAAAATCATAATCTCAAAAATAAATCACTGTTCAAATTTAGCTTGCAAGCTCAATAATCTAAAGAAGAAATTTTCAAAACAGCCTCAAACCAGTTTTTAATTTGAAAAACCGACCCACTTTTTTTTTACCAAAATCGACCCACTTTTTACCACGTCAGTTTAATCTCATTCCTAAACAGTCGGGGTTGACAACCCCGACTGTTTAGAAGGTTATTAAACCCCAATTAGAAATCTTAAACCTGATTTTTTATGCCCTAAATAGTCGGGGTTGGCAACCCCGACTAATTAAGAAATGAGATTAAGCTGACGTGATAAAAAATGATTCGATTTTGGTAAAAAAAAGTGAGTCGGTTTTTAAAATTAAAACCTGGTTTGAGGCTGTTTTGAAAATTTCTTCTAATCTAAAGCTTCATTTGCTGCTGTGAAAGAATGTTGTTGTCCTTCAGCAAACAAAGAAGCAACTAAACTAACTTGCTGTAATGCGTGATGAAAATACCCCCGTTAGTCTTTCACACAATGGTTCGCAAAGAAAGCTACAAACTGCAAAAACTGCAATTTGATATAATTTCAGTTGCAAAAAATGACTCTATTTGACAATTACAGTTGTGAAAGACCGCAATTGTAATAGTATAAACGAGTCCTTTTGCAAATCACACTTGCATTTAAAGTTTGAATTCTCTTCATGCAGAGCGATCCATTTGATACTATCAATCAAGCAGACAACAGTTTGCGAGAAGCTTTCTGCCACATCTACTTTAATCATCTATTGCCTTATCAGAATGTATCACTGTCATATTTCAAAATCTATAGTTCAATACACTGAAGAACATTGAGGATTTTCCCCAAGCCTCAAAAACCTTCCGATTTCAGATTTCAGATTCCATAGCGTCAAATTCAATACAAAGACGATAAATCTTCTAGCGAACAATAGTTTCCCCTCTGAGGCCCAAAATTTAAAAACCAGTCACAAACATTATCGTCACCCAAGCTTGCCAAGCGCCATTTTCTTTTTGATTGCTTGGTGGCCATGATAAAAGATAGTATCAATGATTCCAGCTACTGTGAAAACTCCTGACAATTCAACAAACCAGAAACTTCGTGTAAGAAAAACTACATCTATCAAAGGAAAACAAAGGGGTAAAGCATGTGAAAAACTATCAAAAACGGCTCAAATAAATAACTACCACTGTAATCTCGATCCAAAAGGATCACATGAATTCATCTTCATTTTATGTTTTAGACTTAGCTCGTACCACAATTAAGAACCGCATGTTTTCATTTAAAACTGCTATAGAGTTAAAGAGTAGCATTCTAACCTCCAATTATGGCGCAAATATGTGTCAGAAAGTGCAGGAGAGATCTGTTTTCTTCCGTAAAGATAACCTACACAGCATTTCAATGTTTAATTTTGCTTGATGTATGCAGATAAATAAAGATAAAAAACGGAGAAAAGAATCATTATAAAAGTTTTCTCTTAGATACTTTGAGAGGGAAAAAAAGAGAGACGCTAGAAGAAAAATGGGAGGTAACAAGACTTCAAAGCATTAACAATGTTGTATATGCTAATAATGTTGTTAAGAGAGGGCTCTTATTTTTTAAGCAAACTGAAATAGAAGATTGACATGACAGAAATTAAAATATGACACAATTATTATCAAAATTGAGATAATAGAGTTGTCTAGTTACAAGATACGCCATCCGCACCATGAGGGTGTAGTCAATTACACCCCTAAACTTTTTTGGGAAAAATGTGTCCAGGCCCCAAAAGCAGAATGTTCATGTGACCCGCCCCCTTGTATTTTGCCCCATGTGATTCAGCCCCAAAAAGTACCATTTAATATTTTAAGGCCCCTCCACGTCAGCAGTATAAAAAAAGAGATTGTATTTTGAAAAAAAACCCGAAATTACCCATCCACTTATCTTCCCTAGACGTCTGGTCCACAAACTACATGGAAAGTCACGCCCATTAATGCAATCTGATGGAAAAAATAGAGGGAAATTTCCCGCCCTTTTTTGAACTCTATCATGAGCAATAACTCATGTTAGTTCTAAGTTATTTAATGTTAGTTCTAAGTTATTTAATGTTAGTTCTAACTTATTTTATGTTAGTTCTAATTTAGTTCTAATTCATGTTAGTTCTAATGTTAGTTCTGAGTTATTTAATGTTTGTTCTAACTTATTTTATGTTGTTCTATGTTATTTTATGTTGTTCTATGTTAGTTCTAATTTAGTTCTGACTTATTTAATGTTAGTTCTACTTCCAGCTAGTGTTGGTTCTAATATAAGCGTTAGTTCTAGTGGCTATATTAGTTCTAGTTGAGCTCCTGTTAGGACTGACACGTACGATACCTGTTAGAATTGATACTGGAGAAGCTAGAACTAACACATCATCAAGTAGAAGTAATATGACATTTAGACCTAACAATTACGCTGGAACTAACGACTTAAATAAATTAGAACTAACACGATACCAGTTAGAACTAACACTAGAGAAGCTAGAACTAACACATCATTAAATAGAACTAACATGGCGTTTAGACCCAACAATTACGTAGAACTAATGACTTAAATAAATTACAACTAACACGATATCTGTTAGAACTAACACTAGAACTAACACATTAAATAAATTAAAACTAACACGAGCTGGTAAAAATTAGAACTAACCACATTAGTTCTAATTTATACAAAGTTAGTTCTATTTTATAACAAGTTAGTTCTAATTTTATACCATGTTAGTTCTAATTTTATGCCACGTTAGTTCTAATTTATGCCAAGTTAGTTCTAATTTATACAAGTTAGTTCTATTTTATAACAAGCTATCTCTAAATTATACAATGTTAATTCTATTCTGGAGCGTGTTAGTTCTAATCTATACCATGTTAGATCTATTCTGTAGCGTGTTAGTTCTAATCTGCACAGTGTTAGTTCTATTCTGTAGAGTGTTAGTTCTAATCTGCACAGTGTTAGTTCTATTCTGTAGAGTGTTAGTTCTAATCTGCACAGTGTTAGTTCTATTCTGTAGAGTGTTAGTTCTAATCTGCACAGTGTTAGTTCTATTCTGTAGAGTGTTAGTTCTAATCTGCACAGTGTTAGTTCTATTCTGTAGAGTGTTAGTTCTAATCTGCACAGTGTTAGTTCTATTCTGTAGAGTGTTAGTTCTAATCTGCACAGTGTTAGTTCTATTCTGTAGAGTGTTAGTTCTAATCTGCACAGTGTTAGTTCTATTCTGTAGAGTGTTAGTTCTAATCTGCACAGTGTTAGTTCTATTCTGTAGAGTGTTAGTTCTAATCTGCACAGTGTTAGTTCTATTCTGTAGAGTGTTAGTTCTAATCTGCACAGTGTTAGTTCTATTCTGTAGAGTGTTAGTTCTAATCTGCACAGTGTTAGTTCTATTCTGTAGAGTGTTAGTTCTAATCTGCACAGTGTTAGTTCTATTCTGTAGAGTGTTAGTTCTAATCTGCACAGTGTTAGTTCTATTCTGTAGAGTGTTAGTTCTAATCTGCACAGTGTTAGTTCTAATCTGTAGAGTGTTAGTTCTATTCTGCACAGTGTTAGTTCCGTTCTGTAGAGTGTTAGTTCTAATCTGCACAGTGTTAGTTCTATTCTGTAGAGTGTTAGTTCTAATCTGCACAGTGTTAGTTCTAATCTGTAGAGTGTTAGTTCTATTCTGCACAGTATTAGTTCTTAGTTCTAACTTATTTCATGTTAGTTCTAACTTATTTTCATGTTAGTTCTAACTTATTTTATGTTAGTTCTAATGGCAAGTAAGAGCTAACTTTAAGTGGAACTAACATTAACACTTTGGCTACTTGGTCTAGTGGTAAAGCTTGGGAATTTGGAGAGGAGGTTAGGAGTTCAAGCCCATGCAACTACAATATATATTTAAAGGTCTTTGATTGGGCCTTGGGCCTAACATTCCAGCCCTTAGAACTAACATTGAGTTCTTTGTTAGTTAGCCCAATGTTAGTTCTAGCCATTAGAACTAACATTCCAGCCCTCTTGGGCTCTTTGTTAGTTCTAGCCATTAGAACTAACATTCCAGCCCTTAGAACTAACATAACAGCCCTTAGAACTAACATTGGGCTCTTTGTTAGTTCTAGCCATTAGAACTAACATTCCAGCCCTTAGAACTAACATAACAGCCCTTAGAACTAACATTTATAGTTCTAATTTTCCTTGACCCCCCCTTTCAAATTCACAGGTTCTTAGATTCTTTAGTCGACTTTTAATCACATTATCTTCAATTTTTAGCTAAATGACGATATGTCTGAAGATTCAATGTGAGCTTTTGAATTTCTGCTGTTAATCTCTTATACAAAACTCTGTCAATCACCAAATCACACAAGAAAAAGGCATTAAAGAAAAACCCAAACTGCTGTTCAAGAATCCAAGGAGATCTCATTTCAATTAAATGAAAGAGAAAAACTACAAAAATCCAATATCGATTCCCTTCATAAATTACAAGAAAACAAGAGCACTATCTTGATTAAGACATTGATTTGGGTAAAGATATTCCGTAACCTAGAAAGGGGAGAACAACGATGCATCAGACCAAAGCCCCAGGCTCCGTCAGCTCGCGGGTCCCCGGACCATGTTCCGTGTTTGTTGTTGAACCCGCGTTCACGAGCTGTTTCTAAGATGACTCCCCGACCTCCGACTCCATGACCACCGTCCTCGCCTTCGCCTTCCACGACCTCCTCAGTCTGATCATTTTCAGCGGCCATGACGGAAGTGAGAGAGAAGGAGAAGCTGAGAGATAGAGTGGAGAGAGAGAGAGAGAGAGAGAGAGAGAGAGATGGGATGGGGTTAAAGGGATGGGCGCAGTTACCAAGCTCAATCAAATCAAAGGGTAAATTTGTAACTTTTGTTGGGTTTTTCTCAGGATCTGGTACTTTGGGGCCTTAACACAAATACAATGTGTATTTGGGGCTGAATCACATGGGGCAAAATACAAGGGGGCGGGTCACATGAACTTTCTGCTTTTGGGGCCTGGACACATTTTTCCCAACTTTTTTACACGAACCCCAGACAGCATTATCTCCCAAGCCAAATTGCATGGGCACACACACGGGTACGGATACAAGTCACGGCAAATTTGTAAAAGGTAGGGTACAGGGACAAGATTAAATACATGCATATTATGTATACTTATATGTTTTAAAATTAGTTATATAATAAATAGATGTTTTAAAATTAGTAATTTACATAAGATCAACATTGTTTATTCATTTGCATTTATATAACAAATAGATGAGAAGCGTAGAATATATCTCCAAGAAGTGCACGGAGAGTGTATAAAATTAAACGTGCATTGTAAAATTGAGTATACACCTGGATAAACATATGCATATATTCAAGAAGTCTCCAAGTAGGTTCAATACAGGCATGCATCACGTACGGGCATGGCTTCTGATTAGAAGTACCAACGTAACGTAGCTCCCAAGGTATGTTGAGATACACCATGTGATGATAAATCACCTTTTGCCCTCAAATTAGATAGAAAATTTAAGAAATTGCCTTCTACCTCGGGGGCAATAACTATTGTCGTCTGAGATTGGGGGTGTAAATGCTAACAAAAAAGTTGAAGGGATATAAGTGGCTACACCTTCATAGCACAAGGAGTGTATCCACAGTTAACCCATAGAAATATGGATGTGCATGCTACGAATGTGGTTGAACAAGGACTCTTTATGTTTTAAGCAAAGTGAAAAAGAAAACATTGACATGCATCAACATGAGGCACAAGTGTTAAAAGCATCTTGCTGAGACATAGCCAGCCTCACTTTTTCTTCTAGACTGTGATGTTCAGTAAATTGCATATCCATACATGTATTTTTCCAGCAGGCATATTCATACATATACCCCCAAGACCAGTAAAGTTTGTGGTCAACACTACCAAGTTCAATCAAGTTTTAACATGCATTACTGAAATCTGAAAATAAACATCCCGACTACAAAGGCATCTTACAGGATTCTCATGTTCTAGTCAATATTCTTAGAAGACCCCTTTAGAAAAAAATCAACCAAAATCAATGAAACATGAAAGGTCATTCTCTCAGGGATATAAAGTTAGAAACTCAGCATAATAGTCTAATAGACAAGACTCAATTGCATCATAACCCACAAAGAATATTTGCATGGTACTTCTTCCAAAAGCTCTAAATTGTTAACTAAATTCACTCGTCTTCCACCGAAACAAACAACAAAGTTTCTGGCAAAGATTGTCTTACTTTATGTGCATCAAAGCTTTAAGATCCTTTTTCTAACAATTATTTCAGAACAAACAAGGCCAAGCAGTACAAATAAACTTCATCTTATGGGAAAGAAAACTCTCAATCCCTTCTGACTGGTTAGAAATGTGACAGATGACAACACTGTATGTTCTGACTCACCTTGATTGGTGAGAAATCATAAATGATTAATACTCCAGGAACAGGTTTAGGATAGATATCTCCTTCCCTGAAGTGTTCTGTCACTGAAAACTGCAAGAAGGTCATGACGAAATTATGAAGCTCCCACATCAGTTTTATTTCAAGTCAATTTATTGTTCCAAGTCACTTTACCTGGTTTGTGTGAGTCTTGTGTCCAGTTATGTCATTGTAGATTGTAGGAACAACCTGGGAAAAAAAAGGTAAATGAATTATGATCCTTGTATGCTCACGTGCTATAAATATACATGCTGGACTTTAACTGAAAATTCAAGGACAAGAAAATTATCTGCCAAAAGTAAATCCAAATAACTGGGTGTATTCAAAATATAATGGAAGATAAGCTAGTTAAACCACATCTTTATTAATGAGGATCTAGAACAGGATAATTTGTAGGTTTATTAATATATCACATCTTTATGAATGAGGATCTAGAACAAGATAATTGGTAGGTTTATTAATTAAACAATTCAAGTCAGGTATCTGGTTCACCTTGACAAAATACTGATACATCCCAGATGATATGCCTTGCGTCCACTGTGCACTAGAAATTTACCAAAAATATTAGTTAATGCTGAAAGTATCATTAATGATTCTCAACTGATGCAGATAAGCATTAATAATTTGTCCAACTTACCCATCGAGTGGATTTACAACACCTGGAAAGTCCTTGCCAAAGGATAACTTATTTATTTTGTGACTTATCTGGTTTTAGAAAAAGGAGAAGGACAAGCATGCCTCAAGAAGCTCAATGGATATCCAAATGGGGCGAATAGGACGAATATTACCAAAAAACTATACTTACATTATATTCTCTTTGGAAGGAAAATATGTCAAAAATATGAATGTTAAATTGGTGGAAGCTTTTTCCAGGGGCAAAATGTATACTTCCAGCTACTTTATTCACTTCCAAGAAGCCATTGATATTGCAACCTTCACCCTCTTCATCTTTAACCTTTTGGATGTAGCCCTCCCTCTTACACTGAAAATGTAGTTTAAAATAAACTAAATTGAAATGTAAAACCGAGATATAAAGATTCACAGAATTTAATGCATGAGCCTACAAGCAAACATGAATATCTAAGCTATTTTAAGAAGATGAGGAGCTTTGCGGGAAAACATAACCCATACCAGTTAATATAGTCATTATGTTATATAGACGACTTGGTGTTAAGAAGGAAAAATTTTCAACTGCACACTAAGAATAGCATAGAAAGTAGGCATTTTTTGGCTAGACATGAAAGCTAGTAGACTAACTGGCAGGTTCAAAGATCTAAAATAAAAAACCTTGTGTCTCAATGCTAAATCAAGACTCAAGAGAGCAGTATCTATATAAGTTGGGGCAGCATGTGGCAAACAGTCAGTAAATGCTGCCCTAACATTTCATATTAAGCCAGATAGCAGCTCAAGTATGAAGCACACTTTACATGAGAAGAAACACCATTTTAAATCCTTAACTCAGATGGAAATAAAATGCAGTAGACATTTAATCTTTTTTCGTAAAATTGAAATCTCGTCCTCCTGAAACTACAAAACATAATGTATAGTAGTATTGGTAGACTGCATCAGCACCTACAAAGCATCGAACACCTTGAAAGGGTAATCATACTTCTAAGCATGACCACACAATCCTCCAAAAAGATAAAATCTCATTGCCCATGAAACATATACACAAAAATGGTATGCTACAAGGATATACAAGCACAACAATCTCAAAGGAGCCATACCATAGGGACCCCAATCACATATATCTATGAAAAAAGGGTATTGTTAAACAATTAAATATTGTAGATATTCACTCATATCTCAAAAGCTACAATATAGGGATACAATAACAAGAAGTTTATTGTGCAGTCAATCTGGAACTACACACAATTACCTAATCACAATTATTCTTTTAATTACATTCTAAATATCTCTCAATCACCAAATCTCTAATTTATACTCCTAATATATTATTCCTAATATAACATTATAGATCTCCACAATATATTCCTTGACACTCCTCAAGTTGAAGCATATATATTATACATGTCTGGCTTGTTTCAAACAAGATGTACTCACTCTAATTTGTGACACAACTTAGAAGGCTAAAATCTTCGTGTGACCTTTCACATCATAGTTGTCTCCATCTTCTAGTCTTCTATTTAAATATCTTCCACACGAACAACCTCAACCAAAATCACCAAATGCGATGCCTCGATCTTCTTCACAAATCGACTAGGCAACTACCAAATAAACAATCCTCACCAGGAACCTACCAAGCAAACAATCATGTCTAGGGATCCACCAAATAAACGATCATCTTCATGGATCAACCAAACAAAAGATTATCTTCATAGATCAACTAGACAAATGATCCTATCTAGGGATCAACTAAACAAACAATCCTCTTCAGAATATAACAATCAATTGATCCTTCTTTAGGGATCTGCCAAACAAATTATCCCTCTTTAAGGATCAACCAAATAAATAAAGCCGAAAAAAATAACCTTCACTGAACCAAACTCCAAACCAAATCCTAATTCAGTCAAAATCTTTTTTATCCTATAGCTAATGGTGGTCAACGTTTCTAGAATCCAAGCGGCAATGGTGGTGGTGTCGACAAGTTGAGTAGACGGTGAATGAAGGAAAATCAAGGTGGCAAAGGTGGTGACCAAGGATATCGATAGCGGATAGCATCACGTAGCGGTGAGGTATCGCTAAGGCTATTTCAGGCTATTGCGGTAAAATAACGGTAAAAAACGCAAAGTTAAATAGCGGTCTAATTTAGATATGTATAAATACTAAAAAAAATTAAAGAAAAATCTAAGAAATCTAAAAGTACATATTGGATGATTTAAAGGGATCCTAAATATAAAATAGACATGCAACCATCACGTAATACCGAAGATGACTGGAGAAGTCAAAAAGTCGTCGTCTTCGAGAAGAAGAGCTTAGCGACGACAGAACTGTCCTAAGAGGAGCTCATGGTGAAGGAGGTGAGGGGAAGTATCAAACTAGGTGCCAGAAGCTATGAGAGGTGGCGGGAGTATGCTGAAAATCACAGGAGACGGTGGAATGCAATGGTCAAGGGTTGAGTTTAATTTTAAAAAATAAGCCCCAAATCGCTTTTAAATAGCAGTCAAAAAGTAAATTTCGAATGCAATCGCTCACTATTTACCATTATGACACACTATTAACCGTTTTTGTGAACAGACATATTCCGCAATATGTCACCGTTATTATGTGATAGCGTAACGGACGATAGCGTCGCGGGAAGGGACCGCTAACGCTATTAGCGCCGCTATTGCGGGGCTATTTACCGCTATTTATAACAGTGGTGGTGACAAGAACATGTATATCGAGGATGAGTACTGTGACCAATAATAGCAATATTGATTATCAATAAGGCCATCGAAAGTAGGACGAACAAGAATCTACAACACTGTTTACGGTGAACAGTCACCGCGACCGATTCACGGCCACCAAAAAGAAAGGAGGAGTTTGATGTTGAGAGAATGGAGGCTAGGGTTTGTGAGGATCTAGGATTTTATGGAGACTAGAGTTTGTGTGGCTTTGATACTATGGTAAACAAAAAAAATATTATAGATTCTCATTCACATCTCAAAAGCTAGAACTAATCCCCTTTATATAGGGATGCAATAAAAAGAAGTTTATTGTGCAGTTAATGTGGGACTAAACACTACCTAATCACAATTATTTTCTTACTTGTATTCCTAATATCTCTCAATCACAAAATCTCTAATTTATACTCCTAATATATTATTCCTAATATAACTATAACATTATAGATCTCCATAATATATTCCTTAACTGGTATAAGATAGTTATGGTATTCTCATTTGCCAAATATATGCAAAGCATAGACAAAGGACGGATGCACACATTTCTGAAAGCACGGCTCTAATTAACTTGGCGGCCTAAGACCAGCAGTACCTATTCCGCCGACTGGTCGAATCTATGTTATTCATGTCGTCTTGAAAGGCGGGATCAGTCGACTTTCTCTCGAATACGACTCACCAAGAGCCTACTCGACCGTCAATCCGACACTTTACATAGACGACTCAAAGAACGGTATTCCTCAGTTGATCTGAAGGATAATACTCACCTCAGGTCTCTTCTTCTGACTATGTGTCAGCACCGCAACCCACACTAGCCAAGTCTCATCATGACCTTAGCTCGATAGTCTCTATGACTTGTCACATCACCTGCACTCTGACCCCCATCAATTACTTTCGGGATAATGCGGAGACGTTCTCTCCCATACCCAAGTGACTCTTCTTCTAGTCGTCAACCAACATCTGTAAATCAAAGGTCAGCTCTGCTGAGCATGCCAAGCCACATCATCACTTTCCGAAAAATGCAGAGACGCGTTCTCCCATATCGAAGTGACTTCCCAGTCGCCAGCCGACATCTGTCAAAATGGGGTTGACTCAGCTACCAGTTTGTACTTCGTCCCCGCCTTTCTATGCTCGATTAAAATGACGACACTGCCCTTCACACACTAAATATATATAAAGGTATAACCCTAACTTGAGGAAATTTTTTAGGGGGATTTTTCAATAGAAGGGAAGGGATCTCTCTCTGAAAATAACACTATACTAGCCTGATCAAGACTAGATCTCCCTCACACATGCACACAACTCCCTCAAGAACCTCATCGGTTTCTGACCTTCCCCTTTCCCACTCAAGCTCAGCAGCTGAATTGATCATCGGAGGAACCACGAGGGAATCGATCACCGTCCTCTCACGAATTATTTGCTTGTGCAACTTGATTGGCAACCCCAGTTCAAGAACCAGGCATAAATTCGAAGGAGGCGGCCCCAGTTGATCAATCTCCTCTACCTCATCCCGACGAGGGCCCGAAAGGAACCGATCCCGCCCCGGATCCAAACCAACTGACTGTATGAACTTAGTCATCAACAAAGATGATAGTTCATTTTGCTCAATGAGCTACCTAGATATAGAGTACTAAGTAGTAAGGCCCACAGTGCTAGCCACAATGAAAAACGTGGGCTTCACGACATATATCTCTTGGTAGTTCATTTTACCAAGTGAGGTGAGAACTCATAACTAGTATCCCCTATACACGTGTGTGTAGACACACATACATCATATACATAAACATGTAAATATGTATATGTATATGCATATACATACATACTGATTCATATATATATATATATATATATATATATATATATATATCGAACTGTGAAGAACATGAATAAAGTAGTTTTGCCATAAATGAAAAGATGAATCTAAAATCTCTCCCAAAATAGTACAGCCATATTCATGAGAACCATCATGCAAGCCCACTATAGACTGTCACCACTTAATTTTGATAGGCACAATCAATGTAAGGCAACGTTCACTTGAAAAATCACAAATCACAAATCACAAAGGAACAGATGAGGGGGAAAAGGGCCAAAACTTCTTTCAGCTTTAATTTGTACTAGAAAGTTTCTTGTACCCTTGCTTATAAATGGAAATTTATTAGTTAAATTTTTATTTCAGCTTTAATTTGTACTAGAAAGTTTCTTGTACCCTTGCTTATAAATGGCAAATTATAAGTTAAATTTTAATTGATTTAGGAATCTTTATAAAACCTAATAATTAAGAAAGTTTTTGTTTTAGTATGATTAAAATAATTCCTTGTAAGGGTTAATTTCTTACTTCAAAATTTGGAAGTCTTAAGACTAAATTCTCTTCAATGAAAACATCATGATGTTTATGGAGAAGAAAACAATATTGTCTTTAGATTATGTGATGCAACCTTGAGTTGAGTTTGGACTTCCTGATTTTGAAGGCATTAGAGTTCAGTTGGAGTGAAATCGCTGCTTCCAAAGAAATGATTTGATTCTTCTTCTCTAACCCACCCACAAAAAAAAAAAACCAACAAAACACCTCCAACATCCAGAAAATAAATAAATAAAAAGAGAAAGGGGCAAAAAAAGGGAAGATTCTTCTTTCTTATTTGCTGAGCACCGCCTTCCAAAAGTCTAAACCGCAACATGCCCCATTAATAACCTAAAATACTTACGAATCTAATCCAAGTCAACTTCAGCTCAGAACAAAGTATGATTTACCTTCCATGACTGGTGAGCAATAGGTAATGTGTGGTAAAATAATTAATCAGATTCATTTGTGCTTTTCCAGTTAACCTTTATCCAGATGGGGGTTATAGATGACCTCAGACAACAGAGATGATATTAAAGGGGAAAAGAACTTGCTGATGTCAACTAGTTTAAATTAGAAGAATTGTAAGGCATTTCATCAAATTAGTATCTGAAACACACTATCACATTAAAACTTAACACTGATGGAAAGTATTAATTAACATAGTAGCTTGCAGTCACATCAAATCCAGGTCCATCTTCAAAATTCTACCACAGACGGAGATGCTACTCGTTAGGTACAAGCCACAAGGAAAATCAAAAGCCATAATGGCTGGCAGGAAAAAACTATACCTGGTCAATCATTTCCAAGTTTGGTAGACCCCAATGTTTCTTTTGGTATGCTTCACGAACTTCTTCACAGGAGTTACAGCAATCATGCTCCGACTGCAAGAGAAAAATGCAAGTTGTTTCTTATGATATGGTTCCATGGCATGTGTAATGCTGTCTTTTGGGAACAGAACAATTGGTACTGACAGAGACAAAAAAGCAAGTAATATCACATCACATAAAATGAATATTTTAAGTTTCAAAAGAATTAACGTACTTCTTCTGCACCATAACAAGAGCCACAGTAGGTCTCATTGTGGTCAAGCCTCCCCCCATGCTTCTGTAAAGGCCTTTCAATCTGACAAGAAGAAATTAAGCAAACAAGTCATGCAGTAAGTTAAGGAAGCTTTTAAATATAAATGTGAACAAGAACTAATGCATTGAATAAACACTGAATCAAAAAAAAAACATAAACAAGAAAAAAAAAATCATTTCAGAAAGAACAAATGGTTGTTGATCAACAGAAATAAATGGCCGACACAAATCTCGATCCGCCAATCCACACATACTATCTTGAAATAAACAACAAATAGATATTTGATGAACTGTGTCAATCTAGTTATTGGTTCTAACAGAAATATTATCTTTCACAATTCATAAAACTTACTGAGAACTGAAATTTCAGAGAAATTCTAGCCTAAAAGCATGTATCAACAATATGTTTGCTAGTGCTTCAGACTACATTGCACAGTACATAACTCAGTCCTTACAAAAACAACTTTTTGGCTCCGACACCAATGTGCAAGTGCAACATGTGTAGGACTATGACGCTTCATTGACACTGCATATACACCATGTCACATACACTTAGACATATCCAACTTGAAACTTAAAACATTTTGGGTTCAAGGCACAAATGGACACTTCTCCAATTGAGTTAACAGTTTAATTAACTATCATAGAGAGGTGGTTTTGTTGAACATTTTAGATTAAGGGGTTTCTTGAGAGTTGAGATGCAAGTATAAATCAGGGCGGGGAGGGGGGGGGGATTCTAGTAATTTAGCCATTTATAAATTAGCTTTTCCATTGATTTGTGATTTCAAAGAACTTGCTGGAGCTGGATATCATCTTATTTTCTTCTTCTTTCGGATTTGCCATCCATTTTTAAATTTATCCAGGCCAAATTTCATCAAAAAACATTGTTCATATGTCATTTCCTCTTTTGCCCATTTGGTTGTTTTTTTTTCTCTTCTAATTGTATTCACATTTAGTAACTTCATGCTTTGGTTTTAGGTTAGGGGTATTTCAAGGAAAAAAGAGGACCAAATTTTAGTTGAGACTGTTCAGCTGCTTTTCAACCTATTTTGTCCTTACATATTAAATGTATTTACATTTGGCAACTTGATAATTTTGGTTTGGGTTGGGGGTATTTCGGGAAAAAGGGAACTAAAATTCAGCTTATACTATCTTCACCACTTTCAGCCATTTCATTTGACAATTACCTTTAGCAAAAATAGTAGAAATTTATCACTCATGACCAAATGGACTACGCATAAGAAGATCATAATTTCACATGATGAGAATGGACAAAAAAAATCTTGATTTCTATGTGTATCATAAAATTAAAGAATACTCAAATCTCTAATTTTCTTGACAGAGGAAAGAGAGAGAAAAATGAAGCCAAAATTTGACAAACCCAAATTGAACTTAATCAAACCCTAAAATTAAAAATATATATAAAAAGAGAGAAATATGAGGTTCTCCATCTTACATAGTACTTTTTGGGCTGAAAACAGGTTCTCTTGCCTCTTTGGGCTTTGATGAACCAAAATAACCCCTCCCTCACCTGAGGCACTATTTCCCCTTGCATGGAACAGAAAGGCCTTACCCGAAGAGGAACGCCATGCCACTCTCGAAAAGGCATAAAAGAATGCAAAGAGAAAGAAGAGGACTTGGCTGACAGACTTTCCAAAATATCCTTGAATCTAAGAGGTGAGGGAGGGTGTTGGGTGATGTGATTGGAAGCATGGTAGTCAAGGAGGTGATGGACTTGGGATTTGTTTGGGAGATAAAAAGGAGGTAAAAGGATAAGTGTTGCACTTATCCTTTTACCTCCTTTTTATCTCCCGAACAAATCACAAGTTCATCACCACTTATCCTTTTTACCTCCTTTTTATCTCCCAAACAAATCCCAAGTCCATCACCTCCTTGACCACCATGCTTCCAATCACATCACCCAACACCCTCTCACCTCTTAGATTCAAGGACATTTTGGGAAGTTTGTCAGCCAAGTCCTTACCTTTCTCTTTGCGTTCTTTTCTGCCTTTTCCGTCTCAATGGGATGGGAGGGATGAGAGTGGCATGGCGTCCCTCTTCGGGTAAGGCCTTATTTGGGTTCATCAAAGCCCAAAGAGGACAAGAGAACCTATTTTCAGTCCAAAAAGTATTATGTAAGATGAAGAACCTCATATTTCTCCCTTTTTATATATATTTTTAATTTTAGGGTTTGATTAAGTTCAATTTCGATTTGTCAAATTTTGGCTTCATTTTCCTCTCTTTCCTCTGTCAAGAAAATTAGAGATTTGAGTATTCTTTAATTTTATGATGCACAGAAATCAAGAAATTTTTTTGTCCATTCTCACCATGTGAAATTATGACCTTCTTATGCGTAGTCCATTTGGTCGTGAGTGATAAATTTCTACTAATTTTTTTGTAGGTAATTGTCAAATCAAATGGCTGAAAGTGGTGAAGATAGTATAAGCTAAATTTTAGTCCCCTTTTTCTCGAAATACCCCCAACCCAAAATAAAATTATTAAGTTGCTAAATGTAAATACATTTAATATATAAAGGCAGAATAGGTTGAAGAGCAGCTGAACAGTCTCAGCTGAAATTTGATCCTCTTTTTCCTTGAGATACCCCTAATCCAAAACCAAAGCATGAAGTTACTAAATGTGAAAAAACAACTAGAAGAGAGAAAAAAACAACCAAAGAGGCAAAAGAGGAAATGACCATATGAACAGTATTTGATGAAATTTGGTTTGGACTCCCTAAAATATCCTTGGGTCCAAAACAAATTTCAGATGTTAAAACTGAAGATAAATTGAAAAATGGATGGCAAATCCGAAAGAAGAAGAAAAAATTCATCTAGCTTTTAAACAATGTTTTTTATAGAATTATTAAGTTTATCCACAGTTGTGTCCCCATGCCCTACCTTTAAGAAAATTCTCTCTCATGAGTTTATCTTTATCCATATAATCTTAGTTCTTTAGCAGCCCAAAATACTCTAGTCATCTGAATTTATCTACATCATGAAACATAGGATAATCCAATATTTTGTGTAACATCAACGTGATGGCCCATCAAAACATGCTACGACTCCATATATACGTCAGTTGCCTTCTTCATGTAGAATAATCTAAGTAGACAAATCAAGTCAATCATGGCAATGAAAGAAGACTACAGTAACATGAAATGAATAACCAAATTTTGGTGGTTATTTCAACCAAGTTGTTTGCATGGTCATGGTGAAAGATCCTTACAGTTGGGAGGTAGTATGAAAGTGAGACCTTTGCATAAGAGTGAGAAAATGTATAGGAAAAATGAATAGACTTAAGTGTTAAAGATCAACACCGACTTAACTAAGTCGATAGTCATCACTAACTCTAATAAGTCGATAAAGCCGACTTTCTTAGGCAGTTCTTAACCGCCTAAAATAAGTAGTCCTCTAAGTCGGTGTTCTTTTGGCTTGTATAATTACTGACTCACATAGTTAGTTCATGGAGTCTATAAAATACATGGTGAGTCCTAGTGAGTTTAGAGGGCACAAATGAGTTGAGAAAAATATAAGTGGGCTAGTAGAGAGTTAGTAACGAGTGGTGTGGGTGAGTGAAGTGAAGTTAGTGAGTGGATTGCATGTGAGGGCTAGTTGTGTAAAAGAGAACTATTAAAATAGTGGAATATTTGTTTTGGTTTGCTTGTCATCTTGAATTGTTCCTAGGTCTATCCATCCACTTAATTCAACAAGTGGTATTTAAGTGGACGATCCGGGACCAGCACTTTTCGTGCTAGCATTTTGTTCATGTGCAGCAGTGTTCGTAGGTTCGTGGAGCTCAAGTTCGTGCACAGTCCGGAATTGTGAAGCTGGTTGGTCTGGGATCAGGCTTGCATGGTGAATATTGAGAGAAATGATATCACGTTACGATGACAGATGTAGCGAACACCATCGGTGCAATCAAGAAACTTAATTGGCACAACTACAACTACTGGAGCACATACATGCAATCCTATTTATAAGGCCACGACCTCTGGGAGGTCGTGGGTGGAGCAGAGACTACAACACCACAAGAGGAAAGTGAACCCTTGAGAAAACGGAAGATAAAGGCTGGGAAAGCGATATTCGCCTTAAAGACAACGGTGGAGGACGATCTTTTGGAGCACATTCGAGAGGCCGACACACCGAAAGAAGCATGGAGTGCTTTTATGGCACTCTTTTCCAGATCCAATGATGCACAGTTGTCGATGTTCGAGAGCCAACCCATGAATATAAAGCAAGAGAATATGTCCATCAGTGAATCAGCGAATATTTCTGAAGGTAAGTACTCTCTGTCGTGATATTGCTCAACTAGACACTGATTTAAAAAATCCTAAAGCAAGAATGAGGAGAATAATCATGCAAGGCTGGAGACATGAGTATCATTGGATCATAGCCGGTATTCGTGGGTGGCAAGTTCAACCATCTATTTTAGAGTTGAAAAATCTATTGGTTGCACAAGAAATAATGGTTAAGCAAATGACCAGTGTTTCGATCAAAAATCAAGATGAAGCTCTCTTCAATAGCAAAAACCAACCATGAGAGCAATCTAACTTGCACTCTGGAAGAGGATTTCGTAAGCAGCTAAGGAGACCCCCTACACCGACAGAGGAACAGAACGACAAACTCGAGCATGGCAGAAGAAAGAGCAAGGTGATCGTCAAGCTCGACAACGAGAAGAAGGATGCTACAACTACGACAAGCCAGGACACTTTGCACGAGACTATCGCTATAAAAGACGATCAGCAGAAGATAACACCGCAACCTCGAGCAACTCTCAGTTGAACATTGAAGATGAATGGAATGTCCAAGCATCTATGACCATTGTAGAAGAAATTTTGTTCCGGAAGAAAAGGAGAGTGAAATAGCCTCCACATCCATCACGGCTGAATCAGTCCATGTATTTGTAGTAGTTATGGATCGAGGAGTCAGGTATAGCAATGATTGGATCGTGGATTCTGCTTGCTCCAACCACATGATAGGAGATAAGGAGAAATTAGTAAATATGTTCGAGTATCGAGGAAGACCAAAAGTAGTGATCGCCAATAACACAAGACTGCTAATCACTCACATTAGCAAGTCAATGATTACGCTACACTCTAGCTCGCCAAAAGTGTAGTTACAGAACATGTATCACGCTCCAAGTATGAAGAAGAATATTTACCGTCTCACAGATGATGTCATCTGACAATTATGTATGTTTGGATCGGACGATGTCAAGGTATATCGTAGCTTCAAGCCTGTCGGGAAACCAATTATGAAGGAAGAAATCTAGAGTCTATCTACGTGATGTTGGCTAAATCTGCATACGTAAACAAGACTCGGAAGAATGAGACAGCTAATCTTTGGCATGCAAGATTGAGACATGTAAGTTATCATAAATTGAATATTATGTAGGAGAAATCAATGGTGTAAAATCTTTCTTATCTGGTGGTTTGGAAAGACACTGTATGTGCTGGTTGTCAGTATCGTAAGGCGCATCAACGGTCTTATCAAAAGTTAGAGTTTAGACCTAAGGAGCCTTTGGAGCTTGTGCATTCAGATATTTTTGGCCGAGTGAAGCAACCATTGATTAGTTGATTGTAATACATGGTGACTTTCATCGACAACTTCTCGAGGTACTTTTGGGTATATTTTCTAAAAGAAAAATCAAATTTCGAGAAAAAATTGAAGGCGAACTCAGAAAGAAAATCCGATAATAGAGGAGAATACACCTCCAAGGAGTTTATTTATTACCTTCGAGAAACAAGATCCAAAGGTAGCTGACGTGTCCATACATTCCGCAACAAAATAGAGTAGCTAAGGGAAAGAACAAGCACCTGAGAGAAATTTGTCGAAGCATGTTGCATGCTAAGAATGTACCAGGGCGCTTCTGGGCAGAGTGCATGAAGACCACACCACACGTGACCAACAAGTTATCGCAGCCAAAATTGGGTTTTGTATCGCCTTTCCAGAAGATATGGAATATCAAGCCCACTGTAAGTCATTTTCGTGTATTTAGCTATATACGCTATGTTTTAGTTCCTGACCAGCTATGCAACAAGTTTGATAAAAAGGCAATTTGGTGTATATTTGTGGGGTATAATGACAAGCGAAAAGAATGGAGGTGTTATGATCCTACAACTAAAGGTTGTCACACATTAAGAAATGTTGCGTTCGATGAAGCATCTTCTTGGTAGACGCCACAAGAGGTTGTGCTCCCGAACTCTACAGATTTGGAAGCAAAGTTGCAAGAGAAGCAAAAGGAGTCAACCCAAGAAGAAAAACCGCATCATCCTAAAGAGGAGTCCAGTTCTCCTGAACCCTCAAAGGCCAAAACTTCATGGCAAACAGATGTTCATCAACCGACACCGGAAGAGGAGCGTCCAAGTCAACTCGAGAACATAATTGAAGAACTCACACAACTTCGGAGATCAACAAGGGCAAGGAAGCCGAATCCGAAGTACGCAAATGCAATTATAATGGAAGATATTAAGGAGCCTAGCACCTTTGAAGAAGCCTACCAAATAGATGAATGGAAAAAAGGCAATGGAGGAAGAAATTCAAGCCATAAAGCAAAATCAAACCTGGGATTTGGTGGCCAAGCCGAAGGATGTGAAACTTATTTCTTGCAAATGGGCTTACAAGGTGAAAACTCGACCAGATGGCTCGGTGAGAGATATAAAACATGACTGGTAGCTCGTGGTTTCTCACAGCAGTATGGTTTGGACTATGATAAGACTTTCATTCCGATTGCGAAAATCACAACAGTAGGAGTCCTACTAGCTTTGGCAGCCAATAAACATTAGAAGCTACAGCAAACGGATGTGAAAATTACATTTTTGCATGGTGAAGTAGATCGACAAATTTATATGGAGCAGTCTAGAGGATCTGAAAGCAAGAACAAGCTAGAGTTTGTTTGCAAGTTGAAGAAGGCATTGTACAGGCTCAAGCAAGCACTGACGGCATGGTATAGGAAGATTGGTGAATTTCCTGTTCAAAGCGGATATTCTATTGCTCCTGCAGATTCAAGTTTGTTTCCTAAGAAGAATGATATCAAACTTGCAATAGTACTTGTTTATGTGGATGATTTGATCATCACCGGGGATAACAAGGCAAAATTTAAAGGACAAATGAGAACCTTTCAGTTCGATGCCGGATGAAAGAGCTTGGAGAACTTAAGATTTCTTGGTCTTGAAGTAGATAATACTAAAAAAGGGTTATTTCTCTACCAACAGAAATACGCAAAGGATTTATTGATCAAATACGGGATGATCAACTACAAGCCAGTCTCAACACCATTAGATGTAAACACCAAGCTATGTGCACATGACAAGAAACATCTAGAAGATCCTACCATGTATCGTCAACTTGTTGGAACTTGGAAGTCTTATTGTCTGACCCTAACAAGGCCAGACATCGCTGTTGCAATTGGAGTAGTAAGTTGATACATGCAGAAGCCCAAGAAACCTCACTTGAAAGTCGTTCGAAGAATTCTGAGATATGTTAAAGGGACACTTAACTATGATCTTCTATATAAAAAGGGTGGAAATTATAAGATTTATGGTTATTGTGATGCTAATTATGCTGGAGATCACGGTACTCGAAGGTCTACCATAAAGTATGTCTATGATCTTGGTTCAGCGGCTATATCTTGGTGTAGCAAAAGACAACCAACTATATCATTATCAACTACAGAGGCGAAGTATCGATCAGCAGTTATGACAACTCAGTATAGCACGTGACTTTTGCATTTGATGATCTACATCAACCTATAGACTATTCAATTACTTTATATTGTGATAATCAATCTGCAATTCAATTGGCAGATAATTTAGTTTTCCATGCACGGACAAAGCGCATTGAAGTTCACCATCACTTCTTAAGGGAAAAAGTACTTCAGTAAGAGATCATATTGGAGCTAGTCATGATATAATCATATAGAACAAGTAACAGATATATTTACCAAAGCGTTGAGTCGCTCAAAGTTTGCAGAGTTCAGAAGTCGGCTTGGGCTCGTGACTAGGGAAGTCGGTGTTGAGAGGGAGTGTTAAAGATCAACACCGACTTCACTAAGTCGGTAGTCATCACCGACTCTAATAAGTCGGCAAATAAGCCAACTTTCTTAGGCGGTTACTAACCGCGTAAAATAAGTGGTCCTTTAAGTTGGTGTTCGTTTGGCTTGTATAATTGCCGACTCACATAGTCGGTTCATGGAGTCTATAAATACATGGTGAGTCCTATTGAGTTTAGAGTGCACAAATGAGTTGAGAAAAATATAAGTGGTCTAGTGATAGAGTTAGTGACAAGTGCTACGAGTGAGTGAAGTTAGTGAGTGGATTACATGTGAGGGCTAGTTGTGTAAAAGAGTTTAATAGTGGAATATTTGTTTTGGTTTGTTTGTCATCTTGAATTGTTTCTGAGTCTATCCATCCACTTAATTCAAAACTTAGGAAATAATTCAATAGCACAGGCAATGCATTCTGCACAACGATAACAATTGAATGGCATCTCCTTGAGCACTGCTCTGCATCATAATGTGGAAAACCAACACTGACAGAAGAAAGAAAGTACAATATTTTAATTTTCAAGCATCAACTAAAGTATAAAGAAAAATGGAGATGCTGCCTTACACAACAAATGCAATATGCCAAGGCCAAGAGGAACCATGAAATTCTTTTTGCAGAAACACCAATAATTGCCTCATACAAAATTTGGTGTACTTTTTAAATGACAGGGCAAGTATACCAATGAGATTGTCGTGAAAATATATGAATTCTAGTCTAGCGAGTACACCCATGATATTATAATGAAAATATATGAATTCTAGTATATGAGAGTGGTTGTGGGAGCTTATTTTTTGTTCAAAGTAGCTTATAAGATAGTTTTTCTCTATGTATGTGTTTGGTAACATCCAATATAAGCTAGCTTTTAAGCTCATTTAAAAAAGTTGGGGTTCCCCAACTTATGAAATAGCTATAAGATTTACAAGTAAAGAAACCAACCTTTGGTGCACCAATACCATCTTGCAATGATGCAATCACATTTCCGTGTTGATCTAATCTTTTCTTTAGTATATCATGCCTCTGCAAGAAAAGAATCCAAAAGTTATAAGAATAATAGGAATATCAACAAATATCATATGTGACTTTGTAGACAGCCTATAAAATGTAATTGCTGAAAATATAATAACTACACAAATAGTGTATAAACCTACTATATTGTAATGCCGCTCACCACTGATATCCATAGCATCAACACTAAGGAGCGAACAAGCAAGTGATGGGAAGGTAACATCGAACTGCATAAAGCATGAAAATTGCATAACTAAGCAACGAACAATAAGAACTAATCTGTCATACACATTATCAAACTCAATTTGAGACCACAATATTTGAAAAAGGGGGAAAAATCAGGGATCAGAATGTTTGAGAAATAGTATGATACAATTGTCTGAAATCTAATTGAAGCCTGCTAACAGGAATATCATATAGGATAATAAGTACAAAGCATCATATGTGACTGCTAGTCTGTACTTTTTAGTAGAAGTACAGAGAGAACAAATAGGTTCAAAGCAGAAAATGGTATTGACTGTGTTTGGGAGCTCACTAAGGGAAGGGAAGGAAGGCGAGGGAAAGAAAGGGAACTTGTCAACTTTTCATTCCCCTCCTTTACCCCCAAATTTGGGGTGTAAGATTTTAGTGTAAATTGTCCCCTCATTTCCCTCCTCTATACTCCCAATAAAACTCCCAAACAAGGTTAAACTCAAATCTCTTCTCCTTCCCTTCTCTACCCTCCATCCAAACACAAGACTTTTTGGTTCGCTGCAAATGTAATCGCAATGCAAGTGTCAGTTGCTGCTGCAACTAAATCTGCATAACTACTATCACTTACATTGATAGTTGCAGACAGTTTCTTGATCCGATTTTAGTTTTTTTTTTTTTTCCTTTTTTTTTTTTTTTTTTGGTTATTGTGTATAATCGCAGCTCAAGAAAGTTAGCAACTACGACTTAAAGTTCAAATTTATTATGTGCAACAAAAAAAAATAGTCGATACAGATCCAAAGTATCTCAACTCCATGCAACTACAATTACAACTCGTTACACGAACCAAAATTTCAAGAAAAATGTCAAATACTCACATTGACTCTTAGTTTTTCTCCTCTTGACGTATCCACTACCAGCTTGCTCTCAGGACCTGAATAAAGAAACAACCCTGCATTGGTGAAAGGCAACTGTTAAGCTACAGATTAGTATCAAAATCACCCAAATTAAACAAACTCAGGCAAATTCAATAGAATCGATTTATTACCCCCTAAAAAAATGTTATTTTAGGGTTTTTAAAAGAGGGAAAGAACTTACTGATCTCGGAGATGAAGAGGAAGATCATGACGATGGTGGAGATGATGGTGATGAGACCTCCTGAGAGCGTTCTGCTGTAGAAATCCTCGTTTATTTTTGGGTACGCGTCCAAATTCCTCACCTTGTTGAGGATCTCCATCTCGAAAACCCTAGAGAATTGGGAATCTCCGATGAGATCTAGGGTTTCGATTGGCGATTCGATACAAGGTTACAATAGAAATCCTTTTCAATTCTCCGTTACAGATGGGGGAGGGGGTGATTTGTAATATATAAAATTAATAGAAGGTGTATCTGAGTAATTGCAAAACAGACAGATTCGTTTTTGGATTCTGCAGAAAACCCCCTCTCAAGTTAAAGTTTGCCAGCAAACTCACTGTCTCGTGTTCGGTTTGTAAAGACACTCTCTTTCAAGTTTGGCTTCGGAAAAGAGCCGTTTTAGGGTCTGTTTGTTTGCACGAAAGTAGCAAAAAAGTAACTGAAGTAAAGAAAGTTTCTTCTACTTCAAACAAAAAATTATGTTTGTTTCTCCGAAAAGAGTACTTCAGCTACTTCCATAAAATACGAATGTGGGGTTTTGGTCGCACTCCTACTTCCTACATTTTGTTTCCGTCCTTGAAAGCTCAGAAGCAGAGGAGAAGTGGATAAAAAATGAGGTCCACTTAAATTATAGATTTACCAAGGGCAGATGATCTTAAATAATATATCTAATTTCTATCCAAACAAACAAATAAATAAAAAAAGATGATGAACTATTATTTTCGCTACTTCTAAAAATATATGAAACAAACAAAATAAGTACTACTCACGCTACTTTCTACTTCATAATTGAGAAAGTTACATCTTTGATCCAATTCTTACTTCTAATAGTTACGTCCATCCAAACGGGCCCTTAGCTCAGATTCAGCATAGAATCACCTGAACTAAAAAAATTATGTAAAATCTAAGAGCTAACGTATTTTTTCCGTAAAAATTAATGTGGGTTTCTCTCACTCGTATCTAGAAGATTTCTTTTATTTTTAAAAATTACCTTTCAAATCTTTATGCTTGTTAATTATTTCTTTAAACTATGGATGGATAAGCCAATTACATATTTTTCACTCTTTATGTTAATAAAATATGATATCCCTCGTCCAAGAGGATCTAACCAAGTTAGTAAGTTGCCTATGAGTAATACTCCAATCTCTCATGTTCAACTCTCCTACCACAGGAATTTTAATTTCTTGGTGTCCTCTTAGCCAATCCCGGGAATTTAGTACCCATGGTCCAAATGATCAAGGGGAAATTCCCTCCTCAAACTTACAAAAAAAAATGCAACATCCCTCTTAATTAAATTTTCACTGATCTGTCTGAGACTCTTATTACTTTTAATTCATTTTCGACCTTACTTTTTATCTTATTTTCTATACCTCTATTCTTGCTATTAAAACTCATTTCCTCTTCCCCTCATTTAGTGAATCGTTATCTTAAACAAATCCACACATGTCGAGTTTGTTTATTTTCATGCATATGATGGAAATTTCACTAGTTTGAATTAAAAAATAAGACTGATGAGTTCAAAATCCTAGGTTCTAATCAAATATCCTATTTGCTTGGCATTCTTCACGCCACGAATATTAGGTTGTCTAAATAGGATTTATAAAAGAAATCTGAACCTGATCATGATCAAGAGGTATGAAGGAGATTTGGAAGAAAGTGAAGGAATGCGTATGAAGGATAAATGACCAAAAAGATGGTAGAATAGGAAAGGTATACTTGTGGATTCGGATTCTCTTCACTACTAAAAAATAGTGGAAGGACCACTATTTAATCGCAACATTTATTTCTCTGGTGGATAGTTATGATTTCTTTCTAAGCGCAAATTAGGAATGAGTATAGCGCATAGGGGTACAGTAAGTATTAGATTTAGAATGTACTCTAATGGCCCACTAGATAATAAACAACTGAAATTAAAATTAGTGATCTCTCCATTATTATTATTATTATTATTATTATTATTATTATTATTATTATTTTGTAGTTGAGAGAATATAAAAAATATACTAGTTAATCATTCTATATTTCTATTCAAATTTCTAGCAAAAAGCCACATGAAAAAAGATATATACTAATTGGTCTCACTGCTGTAGTTGAGAGGATCCAAAAAATATACTAGTTAATCGTTCTATATTTCTATTCAAATTTCTAACAATAAGCCACATGAAAAAAAAATATTATACTAATTGGTCTCACTGCATATTCAAATCAAACCACAAAACTGAAAATTATAAATAAATAAATAATTTAAGGAGATCATTGTGAAAATATCAAAGATTTATGCACTATACAAATGAAAATCTATAACTCAAAAAAATAGTTCATGCGTCAATTTTCACACAACTTTTTAAAATAAGAATACACGGCATTGACATATTCTTTACTGGAGTTAAATTGCTTTACTTAGATAAAAAAAACCATACTTTACAGGGTAGCACACTACTTTATATTGAGGGACAGCCAAATGCATGTAGTATATAACTTATGACCACAGATACATAAACAGTTGTTAAATCTCCCTGCAAGCATGAAAGATCATATCACCACCAAACACAACCCGAAAACGCGCAACACACACAAACTGAGGCAACTTGTTATAAGCTTAAACACTTAAGGGTGCATCTAGGTTATATTTACAAAACAAGAACAAAAACTTGCAATACTCTTGTAATATTTGCAGATCAGTAATTTAACAGGACTTTCGTCTGCCTGATAAGCAACAAAAGGAAAAAAAAAACAACATAATAAACTTTAACGCCTCGATCGCTGAGATCTCCTCAGACCCTGTGTTTCTTCAACCTGAGACTCTGTGGCATCCACTGCTTCGGCTTTGCAAGTCCTCAACCTTTTCCTCAGAGACGGGCCAGATTGACTTGGACCATCATTAGGAGCATTGGCAGCTGCATCTACTGCTTCTGCTTTCACTATTCTGAGCCTCTTTCTTGTGACCGGATCATTTGAAGGACTATTGTCTTGTGTGCTTTCATTTGTCTCCTCTTCATCTCCTTCATAGGATTCCGGAATGGGCCATGGCGTGCTACAGCTAGGGCACACTTTTGCGACCTAGAATTGATATCTGGTAAGGAAGCTGATAGAAACCCTAATCGTTTACTAGCCACAAGCACTTATGCGGTATTAATAAAAAACAGCTTATTTTCTTATATGAACTACCAAGAGATAGACTGGCAGCTAGACTCGCCCAACTATCCACATCGGAGCATGCAGAATCACCACTTCTATCTTCTCTTGGCGGCTTATTTTGATAAATGAGGTGACAACTTCCATTTCATATGTATGTATGTGTGCGTCATGAAAATCTCTTTACATGCTTAAGTGGACTAAGGGCTCTGTCCACCAACTTTTATATCCCTTGGATGAGCTTTGATATGTGTGATGATGTGTTGATACACATCAAAGCACACATTCTCAAAGACAATATTGGCCCTTGGTGTACATCACGCATTAGCACACATCTCAAAGAAAATCCAAGGAATAAAAAGTAGGCAGCCAAAGCTCTGAGTCCACTTAAATTTACAAAATATATATGCATGTATGTGTGTGTGTGTGTAGAGAGAGAGAGGTAGTATGAACCTTCCGCTGGGAAAATTTCTTCTTTAAACAGTAACTATGCATCCTTATCGCGCATTCCATGTTGGGACATGTCTCTGCCTGTAGTCACATGAGATATAAGGGACAAATGAGAAGTAGGAACAGCATTGATCAAAGAAAAAGTAGTGACCTACTTAGCTTAAGTTACATCCCAAAATTGGTTTCTGATGCAATAGAAATTTTCTTCAGATAATTCCAGAAATATTTACAGTGAGCCAATTCTTTTCCCAACATTTCAACCACAAAACTGGCACAAGAACAGTGATCTATGAATAAAACTAGGAGATTACCCTCAAGAAATCACTAGGCATCATTCTGTTTTTCTAATTATTACCCATGAAATACTTACCTTCCTAGGAGATTACCCTCAAGAAATCACTAGGCATCATACTGGGAGATGTCAGTAAGAGTTAAAAAGTTATAAATGGTGATAGCAAATCAGATGAAAAATCACTGAAAGACATTTCATAAGGAATCTGAGGTATCCATGTCAAGTGAGAGACGAGAAATGCATACAAAATATTTCCAGAGATCATAAAGACCACAAGGAAATGTCCTACATTGAGATAACTTTGAAATTGTTAACAAGAGACATTGAGACATTGTTTTAAAAAGCCTCCGCCTAGTCCGCCTAGGCATACGCCTAGGCCTAGGCGGTATCTAGACCGCCTAACGGCTGGGTGGTACCTAGGCTGCCCACCTAGGTTTTAGGAGTGTTTAGGAGAGCATTGTCTGCTTACGTGCTCTAACGTTCAACAAAACCTCCTCGACTACCGTTTAAATGCCTCTGCGTCCTCCAACCTCCTTCAAACTCCTTTAACCTCCAAATATGAACACCTACACTACCTCCTTTTACCTTCAGCAAAACCTCCTCAGCCACCACTTAAATGAAGAAATAAATTCAACAACCTAAGTTTTCTATAACATTGATATTTACTATCAGTTATTGTAATTAAAAAATAAAATAAAAAACCCTCCTAGGGTCTATGCGTCGGGTCCAACACCTAGGCCCGCTAACGCTTTCTATAACCTTATTAGTTATTATTTTGGCTATTTAATATTTAAGTATGCATGGTTTATTGTGGATCTAAGTTTGCTATCTTTTTTTGGCCAAATTTATATGAATTTAATACATATTTTTATTAATTATTATAATTAAATAATTTAAAAATAGTCAAACACCTAATCCGCCTAGCGCCTTCTGTAACATTGACAAGAGATATAGGATAGAAGCAAAGAATATATATGCCATTAATGCATTAAAATCGAAACCTCTTTTAAATCCCTATTTGACCTAATTTTGCTATCTCTTCCCCTACCTTCACCAAAATAAGATGACGTCATGTAGCACTTCGAATTCACTGAAGCTATGGCCACTAATCTCTCTTTCATGGTTGAAATATCAACTTTATGTTAGATAGGAAGATGATGTAGATCAAACAGAATCAGAAGTTTTCTCGAGTGTCATACTCTTGCAATTGATTCACCATGACGTGGCCAAGATTTGTTGCAAGCTTGGTGCGCCATCAGAAATGAGCATCATGTGGATTTTGTGGTGATGGTGAGCAGCGTGTGGTGGGTGCGTGGGTGGGTGGGGTGTAGAGATAGAGAGAGGGGATGGGATAGAGAGATAGATTAGTTTAGAACAGCAAGAGGCGGTTTCATGTAATGATAGATTATGTAACAGTTAAGAAAAATATGGGTTAAAGGGAAGCTCAGTTTTGAGAACACTGAAGAAAAAAAATGAGACAGGTTAAGAGTGCGGAAGATGGCTTGGATAGGATAATGGAAGAATGGGTGGGCTAGAGAGGAACAGGGTTGGCTTAGAAAGAGTATATGAGAGGATAAGTCTATCAATGAGCAAAGGCATTGACATATTTGTCTCTAGCTTTTTTAAACAAAGATTACCTCTGTTAGGTGGTGGAAGAGTTTTCATACATTAGTCACTTGTAGAATCGAATAGAAAGGTCTTCATTTTTCTACTCTAATATATTTTAAGTCTTCATCTTTCTACTCTAATATATTTTACAACAATTGGTTTGTACTTTTAGAAAGAGAAGATAACGGGAAGAATTTTGTGAAAAAGCTAACAGGGGAAAGCAAACCTTTACACCAGCTTCATTGCAGACATCACATGAAGGAATTTCACTAGTACGGAACCAGCTCCGAAGATCAAGGAAGGATCTAACACCGAGACCAATTCTACCATCTGAGGTATAGCACAGCCATTGATCTTGTATAAGATCATTCAGAGTTTTCTCCTTCTGAGATATTGAAAAACTTTTAAATGCAGCAGGGACGCGAGATTGACTCCCCTGTGAATCTTGCCCACCTTGGACCTGAAACCAAGATAACATCATAAAGATATAGACCTGACACTAAGGATCCAACAAGTTAGAAAAGAGAAATTGTACTCAGAAATTACAAGGCAAACTATTAGGAAAATACAGACATAAAAAGAAGATTCAGGCATACATAATCACAATTGAAACCGGCTTCAAAATATAATAAGCCTTCATCTGCTTTGACAGGCCTTTCTTCAGTTTACATTTAAATAGCAGCAAGTTGATGGGTTGTACAACTTCTAGCAAGTTAATCATGCTCTTGGACCTCGCAGGGAACAAATAAAAACTCGATCATGTAACAGTTGGATCTTATATGGGAAAGGAATATACACGTGCGTGAGGAACAAGCCATACACGTCACTGCACTATATGTCGTTGTCCTGTTGTCAATAAGTCCATCTACTTCTTTGGTACAAGTTTAAACTTCAACTCAAGGCAAAGACTGGCCTATGATGCACATGGCAGAGCATGTCAAAATTTATTGTTCTCAACTCTAACCTCTTCTATCTAATTCTCTAAATTGCGCATGCATTCCAGCTTCAAATCAACATTACCTATTGCTCGGGGCCATTTAAGCTATCCATTTTCGTTTATCAGGTCCACAGAAGGAACTACTTGAGGATTATCAAAGAACATGAAATTCGTTCAACCTTACAGTGACCTTTCCTTAGCAGGGCAATGACATACAGCTATTTGTCTGTGCTAAAGCAAACAAACAGCAGGCAATGGTGGCTCACTGGCTCCAAAATCACAACTCTTGGGTATTTAAGCTCTTGGTAAGATTCAGTAAGTAAGAAAAGAAACATACTCTTAAGCTAACCCACACTCAAAAACAACCTAAGGGTGTCAACCCCAAATCAGCACATGATTTGACATGGTACTGACTGAAGAAAACCAAGATAAAGAAACCAACTATTTTATTTTAAAAAAAAACTAAAACTATGAAAATAATCTATTAGCTTGCTTTCGACAATGGCTGTATATCATTAAATCTTTCCAGAATCATATATGAGGGAGAGACGGAGGGGGATTCTTTTTCTCATAAGCATCTGCCAGAAAGAAGTGGTTAACATTAATCTTACCCCCAAAAAAAAGTATACATCAGGCATAAACAAGATTGCCAATTGCCTAAGTAGGAACTACATGGCCTTAAAGAATTTGAAGCTATTCGAATAACCCAAGTCCTCAGACATAAGGAACAATAACTTTCTACCATCTTTCTTCAGAAAAAATATGTGGAATAATCCATGAGCAAGGTAACAAGAAAAACCCTGGAATAACTTTCAACCTATTTATAAATCAGCAGAACTAAATGCTTCCAAACCTGATACTCAAGCCGTAAATTGAGGGCTCCAATATTTGTGATGTGACCTTGCGTTGTTATGTCCTGAACAATTGCTTCTATCTGCAATATGATTGTCAAGAAAAATGTTAAACAAAGTAACTGTGGCATACTTCCTAACGAAATAAGGAAAATCCAGGCATAACTGCATAATAATACGATAAAAGAAACTATTTATCAAGATAGTTATACAAGAGAACACAAGTTCTAACTAAAGAAGCCAAAACAAATTACTGCACACAAAAGGTAACCATCACATAGTGAGGATCAGACCAGATGTTGCAATCACATATGAAATGAAAATCAATGAATAATAGTGCATAGAGGTTCACCTACAGAATCAAATTGAAGTTGAGAGGTTGCATTATATTTTACATCGAAAATGGAAATACACATAAATGAAGATGGGTGCTAAGCATTGTTTTAAATATCCCCGACATGGCCCGATATATCCCCCGATATATCCTTTTACAGGGCTTGCCGCAACCGATATGGTATTTAAATATTCTTTACCGTTTTGTGGCTATTTTGAGTGATAAATCCCCGATATAGCCGATATATTAGCCGATATGTGGACCAATATATCTTTTTATATAGCTTGTTGCAAAATAACGATATAGCCGATATATTAGCCGATATGTGGACCAATATATCTTTTTATATAGCTTGTTGCAAAATAATGTAATACTGTGTTTGGAATTTTTGGGTGAGATATCAAGATTTCCCCATTATATCAAATTACATTTTGTCCTAAAAAAAGCAGATCGAATGTTGCAACGTTGCTTTGCACTTTTGTTTGTTTTAGAAGGTTGATTAGTGATCCTAAACATATATTATTCATATTTTGTATGCTTAAATTTCATTGCATATGTTGAGATTACATTTGAATGCATTATACTATGTATGCAAACATTCATTATGGCATTCCGATATTTACCACATATCCCCGATATTTCCCCGATATCCGCAATCCGATATGAATTTTGGCCATCCGATATTTCCCCGATATCCGATATTTAAAACCTTGGTGCTAAGTGCAGCAACATTCAGAAATTATGATGCAGGCTGCACATGTATGAATAGAATATTTCATTTTTGTGAGAATATAAGAAACCAGATACAGACACCTCAAAATTTATAGTACCTCTAAAGTGAGAGCATATCAAGATCAACACAATGACCACAAGTAGCACGGGACATCAACTTAACTGCTAGAGCATCAGACCCTAAGAAAGATTTCATACATCTGTCGAAATTTAGAGAAACACAAAAGCTAAAGGGATAAAGAGCCAGGGAAGGAATAAGTTAATTCCTTCCGATGTACATATTTCTTAGAGATAAAAGAATAAATTCCAAGTGTTTATTGCTAGACTTAGAGGTTTAAGAAACACCAATAGAAAAGTTCTCTCTTCTGAGCTTATATACTAGGCGACATAAAGAGTTTAAGATACATGAATATTCACTAAAACTTAAAAGTAAGTTAAGTTTAAAAACAAAACAAAAATTTGCTCGCTTTTAAAATAATCCAAAAGTAAAAACCAACAGAAGCAACAAATTTCCACTTCAATCATCATGTTTCAAGTACAACACCGCAACCCTTACATTTCATACAGGTTTCAATGGAAAACCGGTTTGAGTAGGCAGAATCTCCATTTGACTTAAAAGTTTCAGCATAAAATGTTAACTCCACAACTTTGCTCATCCTTTTATTCGTGCATCTGAGACATAATATGCCTCTCGAGTTTGCAAATGAATGAAGATATATGGAGAACCATTAAATAATTGAACTTAGTATTGGTTATTTGCATCTTTCACCTGGTCCATATTTATACACTGAAGAAAATTCTGGCAAGTTAAATTTATTGCTCCATAGTGCAGACAGCAGTTATTTACCATCATCTGAGCAGATTATAAATGATGTACTACATGCACGTAACATGAACAAACAGGCTTGTCACCAGTCCAACTAAACTGATAAAACATGTTAACAGAGAAAAGAATCCAGATATGTGAAAAAGCAAACTCTGCCATTATAGTAAGGGAAACATTAAGAGCATAAACATGATATACAAAATTAGAATCAATAAAACTCTTTAATTAACTTTCCAGATTAAATGTTTTTCTCCGAGAATATAGGGTAAATTTTAATAAACTCCTACCTTTGAGACAAGAAAGGACATTATGAGAACATATTTTCTAAATATACTAAGGAAAAGGGCTAAACCCACAGTCCAACTAGAATTATACTGCAAATGAACGATGTACTCTCATAAAGAGTTAAAAATGGAAAAAGCCAACAGAATCCAAAGGTTTGAGTCTAGCTTCTAACCTGAATTAAATCTGAGTATCCATATATGTGCTTGACTATGTGTGTCAGTGTGTGTGCACGTGTATTTTGAGTGTGCACGTGCAGGTGTGCTTGTACACACTCATTAATGCCAATATCAATGAATCTTGTGTTCCGTAATTATTCTGTCTATTGTTTCCCCTTTATATATTACTCAAAATTCAAGCTTATCTCATATCCTATCAATACGTTACATGCCACATATGGATGCGCCAAGTATTAATAAATTTTCATACTTTAACTTATACCTGAACCTTTATTAAAGATCACCACATAAGGACAGGAAGCGATGATCAACCATGACATACATTTATTTAGACACAACCAAATCCGCACAAATTTCTATGAAGGATTTTCTCCATTGTTTGCTTATCCCGCTGCATCGAGGAAGACTATTGATCAGGATCAGTAGCCCCGAACAAGCTCTAGCTAGATCGTCACATCCATCCAAGGGTGGAGCCAAAATAATCACTCAGGTAAGTCACATATAACGTTAAAGTCAAAAGAGCGCTACAATAAGATATTAAAAAGAACATGATTATATTTTTCTCAAATGAAAAAGTAATCTAAAACCAAATAAATCACAGAAATTTAAAACTAAAATGCATTTAAAAAAATTATGAAAACATTGTTCTTCCTGTTGATTTGTTTCTACATTAAAAATATACGAAATCACAATAAATGCAGCAAAGATCCAAATTTTGATGTGCGATAGTGGAATTTAAGGTAGAGTCCTTGCCCTGCCTCAAAATACCCTAGCTTTGCCCCTGCGTCCATACTCAAAAAAAAAAAAAAACACTTCAAACAATAATCTACACAGTTCTAATCCTAAAGTTTCGCAGCAGGAAACAACATGCACGCAATAAACTCCACCGTGTAATGATAAAACTATCATCTGAACAAAGAATTTACACGAGATCGAAACTTACAATAGCCTTGTAGAACGCAATCTGTGGTACCGAATACTTCGTTCCGAGCTTCGATTGCTCGTCAGCTAAGGTATTAACCACGCCATAGTATACTTTCCCATCATACTGATTTCTGCACCCTCGAAGTTCGAATTTCACGTAACCCAGCTCCTTATTTATCTTCCGCAGCGAATCGTTGAAGGCCTGCTGATGTTCAACTGCAACAGAGTTTACAAAAAAAACCGCATCAAAATCTAACCTTTATCAGATCCGAGAAAGATAGAGATTAAAATGCTCACCCGGATTTCTTCCGGTGATCTCGTAGAAGACTTTGTGGAACTCCGATTCCTTCAAAGGGCCGCGAGAGAGCAAGGCTTGGATTAGGGCATGATGCTTCCAACTCAACTGCGACATCCCCTTTCTCTCAATTCCAACCGATGGATCCGATAAAGGCTTAGTGGGCACGAGGAAGCCCTCGCTTTTTGAGAGGGGATGAGAAATTGGAAGGGGTCCGAGCGAGGGATTGAGAGGGCGATTTCGACTGGAGGGGTTTTTGAAAAGCTAGGGTTTTTATTTTTTGCCCTCTTTGGTTTCTTGTGGCGGGAAAAAGGACGAGAGGTTCTTTGTGGGGCTTTGAGAAAAGGGGCCAGCTTTGGTTTCTTGTGGCGGGAAAAAGGACGAGAGGTTCTTTGTGGGGCTTTGAGAAAAGGGGCCAGCTGGGATGTGGTCAGAGACCAGTTGGGCCGAGAGAAGGGCGACGACATGCCGGGCTAAGGGCTGTTTGTTTGCATAAGGGCCTGTTTGGTTCGTTTCCTTCACTTTCTATAGATGACTTTCCTTCACTTTCTTGTGTTTCTTTCACTTTCCTAAAAAATATTTCTTGTGTTTGTTTCGCCCAAAAATATGTAGTGAAAGTACTTTCCATCATTTTCTAGTGTTTGGTTCAACTTGAAAAAAGAAGAAAATAATTGATGTGTGAATAGATTCCCTCATTTTCTAGTGTTTGGTTCAAACTAAAAAAATCAAGAAAACTTGATTGTGGTCACCATGGTAAGATTACCACCCATCATCATAGTTGTGCTCAGAAAAGACTATTTTTTCATTATCTGCCTCGCCATAAAGTTTATAAATAGCAATGTTGGCTGCAATATATTGCCCCGCCAATATATTGTTGCTATAAACTTTGGCTGCATGTCTTAAAAATAGCCCATCATCATAACACAAAATATTCATACCAACCAAAAACCAACCAAGAGCTGAAACCAAGGCCGAGAGCATGTTGAAACCATGCACAAAATTAAAACAAAGGCCAAGCATCAACATGAAACCAAAGGCCAACCATAGCTGACCAACAACACATAATAGCACCAAGAGCTGAAACCAAGACAGAGAGTACAATAAACCTGCACAAAGTTGAAATAAAGGCCAAGCTTCAACTGAATCCGAAGGCCAACCATAGCTGACCAACCAAAGGCCAAGCAAGAGCTGAAACCATTGCAACCATGGCCAACCAAAGGCCAACACAAAAATTTAGGGTCCAAGGGCCAAGCAACAAGAGGCTGCAACCAAGGAAAGCACACACCTGAACATGAATCATCACATGGAAACAGCAAACCAAACAACCAACATGAAAACAGCAAACCAACACAACCAAGAGCTGAAACCAAGGCCAACTGGAACACAAATTCAGACTCACCAAAAGCCAACACAACAACTTAGCTCCAAAGACCAAGCACCTGAAACCAAAGGCCAACTGAAACACAAATTCAGACTCACAGAACTGATCAACCCAGTCACATAAAGCATGAAAATAGGCGAACAAGAGCCAAGCTGAAAATGAGGCCAAGCTGAAACCATTGCAAAAATCCAGGCTCACCATTGCAACATGTCAGGTACACAATGGAAACCACAAAAAAGCACAACTGAAACAAAGTCATAGCACTTTGTTTGGGCTAAAAAGCCAATAAAATGGGAGTATGATATCTGACACAGGAAAATGAGGCCAAGCAACATGTCAGGTAGTATAGCATAAACCACAAGAAAGCACACAAGAACCAAAACAAGAGGCCAAGCAACATGTCAGGTAGTATAGCATCAACCAAAGGCCAACACAACTATTTAGGGTCCAAGGGCCAAGCAACAAGAGGCTGCAACCAACCAAAAAAACACACCTGAACATGAATCATCAACATGGAAACAACAAACCAAACAACCAACATGCTGAACATGCAAACCAAAACAACCAAGAGCTGAAACCAAGGCCGAGAGGAGGTTGAATCCATGCTGACCAAGGGCCAAGCAACATGAGGCCAAGCTGAAACCATTGCAACATTATAGGTACACAATAGAAACCACAAAAAAGCACAGCTGAGCTCAAGGGCCAACCAACCAAGAGAATGACCAAGGGCCAAGCAACATGAGGCCAAGCTGAAACCATTGCAACATTATAGGTACACAATAGAAACCACAAAAAAGCACAGCTGAGCTCAAGGGCCAACCAACCAAGAGACTGGAAATCAAACCAGCATGCTGAAACACTTAGATAGCTGAAATCAAGGCCGAGAGCAATGCTGAAACCAGCATGCTGAACATTGGTTGCAAATTTCCAATTACATAACAACCATTTCAATCAATTTCCCAAGCCACACAACTGAACATTTGCTGCAAATTCAGACTGCTTGCACACAACTGAAAGTAGACAGAAAGCACACAATAGAAAGTAGACAGAAAGCACACAACTGAATCCAAGTATAGAAATCCATAATTGAATATAAGGCCAAGAAACAGATGGAAAGCACACAACTGAAAGTAGACAGAAAGCACACAACTAATAAATGTGCTCAGAAAAGGCTATTTATTTCATTATCTGCCCCGCCATGAATTTTATAATAGCAATGTTGGCTGCAATATATTGCCTCGCCAATACATTGCTGTTATAAACTTTGGCTGCATATCTGAAAAAAAGCCCATCATCATGACACAAAATATGCATACCTCATTAACTTTAATTCAACGAGGTGAAACCATTCACCTTTCCCCACTTGTAAACCTGTTCAAACAAGTTTGCATTAGCCAAATAATATTCGATAAAACATTTAAAGTCACGGCTGAGATGCATGATTATAGAGATAGTTGCATTAGCTTTGCACAAATGATAGAGATAGTAGCATTAGCTTTACACAAAATATACATCTACCATTGTTGATGTATCCAAAAGGATGAGCAATCATCTAGCTCATTTTCATACCAAAATAATTACACACACATGGATATAATTAAGTTAGTTTCACAAAAATATCCCAAAAGCTAGGCAATCCACAATACCACCAATCTAATCAAGAGGATGACTCTTCATGAACTCAGTCAACACCTTCTTTTGCATAATAGTTGGCCTCCCCATAAACAACCTAGCTTGTGATTCATTCTCATGCAATTCTTGATAAAAGTTATCAAGAATTTCTATGTCGAATTCATCATCATGTGCAAATATAGCCTTTGCCAACTTCTCCGTCCAATGCATACTCACCATGCGCATAGATGAGGTGAATTGTTTTACCTCACTTACTATCTCACGCATAAGCACCGTATCTTCACTAGACCTCCCCCCCTTTCCTTTACGCGTCTTTGACACGTCATTTTTATCTTTGTTCAAACTAGAAGATGGATTGGGTTTTGGTGGCATAGTTGGAACCTTCGGTAGTGGAATATCATCTTCATCTAAAGAGACATAGCTAGGCGTCTTCTCCGTTGGCGTACTAATATCATCATCATCAACACCAATACTAAAATGTGCACTACCACCAAATTGTGACATAACATCTACCGCATAATCTCCTCTAGCAACATCGTCTCCTATAATATTTGCTAGGTCTTCGTAATGTTTCATGGGCTTGTTGATGTATTCCCTAAGTTTAGAACTATTCATACTCTTGTCCTGCATAGTTAAGGCATAGTTAAGGCATAATATCAAATACTTATATAGACAACATTGAACAAATTAGAAATATTTTTAGGTGTAATGACCACTAGAAAATAATTCATACCTCTAGCCATCTATCAAAGCAAGCCTCATCCATAGTTATCATCTTTTGTGCATCATCCCAACCGGCACCGCTCAAGTTACAACATTTTTGCATGTCCAAGAATCTATTACGAATAGTTTTCATACGATTTTTCACGTTCTCGGTGGTGAACGATGAACCTAATTTTTCATTTATATGAAAGGCGGCGCTACAATAAGCGGTTTTTTTGAACTTCTTATCCGCCTTCATTCCATCTTTAGCACACTTTGCAAGAAAAGAAATTAGCAAATCATCATGTTTACTCTCCCATATTTGGTTAACTCTCCGCTTGCAAGCCTCTTTTTTTTAGATTTATGAGCAATAGCTTTCTTTCTCCTCTTTGGATTAGGAGATGAACTTTCATCACCATCGAGGCAAATATCACTTCTCTTGTTGCTTTGTAATTGTTGATTAGGTGACGGAGTTTCACCCATGCTACAACTTTGACGTTGTAAAGTTGGAGGAGCATTTAGCATGCTCATGAATAACATTGGGGGTGGTTGGCCAATGCCCCAAAAGTTAGCATCATGCACTTGAAAATTATTCCAAAGATTAGAACCTTGGCCAACTTGTGAAGAGTGATAAGGCATAAATCCCGGATTGAACCCACAAGGGATTGATGAATTCCTTGGGGTTCTAGGTGATGAATTTGATGTCGTACTCTTGCCTTTGACCTTATCAAGTTCCTCACAATTGAAGTTGTCGGCCATACCTAGAAAATAGTTGTAGAGAAATGTGAAAAACAAACGCAAGTTGAGTAAAGAATGCAACACATAATAGTAGCATACTAATGTTTCTAAATTAACACATAATAGTACATGAAAATAGAAAAATCGATACAACACATAATTGTAACATACAAATGTTTCTCAATTAACCTTACATAGTTTTGCATCACACCATCATAAAATAAAGTACAAGAAATAGAAAAATGCATAACATAAGATAGTATACCTAATACATTGCATCACATGCCTACTTCATTAGTATTCCCTCCCTTATATTTTCCACAATAATCAACCCACATTGCCCAAGCTATTTCATCTCTACGATCCTTCCATACGATTCTTGATTGTGTTTGCTCCCTTAGAGTTTGGGGTTGAGAGAAATCAACAATATTATTCTCATCTTCCGTAGCAACATCACCTTCATCATCTTCGATCTCAACGGTCTCATTGAATATGTCATCATCCGGGTCCACCATTGCAATATAATTGTGAAGAACTGCACAAGCTAATTGGGTTACAAGCCGCTAAAACATTTTGTGTAACACCTTTTCGACCACGGAATCGTGGTTGAAGATTAGCAGGTAGCATAGCATCAACATGTGTCCCATCTATCATACCAATACAATCCTAGAGGACAAAAAATTATTATTAAATATTTTTAATTAAGTTAGATGAACATGCTTTTAATCACAAATTAAAGAGAGAATACCTTGAAATAAGGATAGTATAGAGGGTTGCTAAGGATCTCCTGTGGAACTTCATTCTGTGCTTGTCTTAAAAAGCGTGATCGTATGAGGCAAATTGCTTCTAACACTT